AAGAAAAGGCATTTAAAACCATGGTCTAAAACATCTATTTTCCAAATCCCACCTCTTTATTTTTTATTTTGTAGCATCCACCCCTGATGGAGATCTCTGGAGAAATCAAAAGCTTTCACTGTTTAATGTCGTTTTGGTTAGTCCTAAAAAAAGGTATTACAAGGACTGTGGTTTGTTTTTGGGATTTTGGTTTTGGATAAGTATGGCTGTGAACAGTTTTTGGGAAACTTCAGCCCAGTCTCACAATTCCTTGTACACACAGGGCCTTTGATATGCTAAAAAAATTCTCTTGCTTGAAAAGTATTTCCATCTTTCCATGAAGGTGGAATCTGAGTATGTATGTCCCACTGAACTTCAAAGCCTCTGTACTGTACCACAATATTTCATAGAGCCTTCGTAGTCTTCAGATTAAATGATGATTACTGCTTCTAACATTAGAAAAGTTCAAAAATGCTATTTAATTGCACAAACATTTAATTACATTTCACTTCAACAAACAAGCAGTAATTTCCACCTACATGAAGTCCTTGAAATGTCTACAGTGAAGAAGGATATTGTTTAATATTTCACATCCTGTTATGCTTATTGCTGTCAGCTGGGTGATTTATGATTTCCCAGTATTGCCAGTTCAGAAGAATACAAAGAGGGCTGTTTGATCACCTTACCCTCATTATCTTTAATTACAGCCTCAAATATGAAGTAGTCTTTTACATGTATTAGAAATGTGTTTATCTGTGGAGCATATTATGAATCCAGCGCAATATTGTTTCCTGTTTTACATAAAAGGGGCTTGAAGCTGCCATGCAGTTATATATCCAGGAACTTGCTTAAAGAAGGAAAGTCCTTTCAGAACTATATTGTACATTCTTCAATTCCCATAGTTGTATAATTTTTAAAATGGCTTCCACTAGGCTTTGACCTTTAATTAACAAATCTAGTACAGCTCATTTAAATAATATCTGTAGAAGTTGTACTTTTTTCAGAAGATGAAAATTATACTTAAAAAACAGAAAATATGACATGTGAAAAAAAATATGGTTAAACCCCTCCTTCTGAAACCTGGTTACTGGATTCAGTGAATTCATCCACTATACACAATTTAGTTCACATTCATAATTGTTTGAATGTTCTATATATTTCCTTTATCATTTGCATAAAAGCCATTGTACTATAAACTATTAGACTGGCTAAATGTTCACAGAAGTATTATATATAACAAAAATGTGGTTTTTTATTATAGATTCAGGTGGGTGTTTTTAAAGTGGGTGTTTTTAATGTGTTAGCTGCCTTGATGGCCCTGACAAGGGCAGAAAGGCAGTGTATAAATCTTGTAAATAAAAATAAAAATGAACAAAGTTCACATTGTAATTTTAAAAGACTAACTTACATGGGAGCAAGCCACAGTGAACTCAGCTATAAAAAAAAATGTATAGGCTTGGGCTGCAAATTGACCTTTAGTATTTTTGGCTGAAAATGTGTGCATTTCAACCTTAAGCAACAATAATATTTTTAGATTCAGGTGGGTCGCCGTGTTGGTCTGAAGCAGCAGAACAAAATTTGAGTCCAGCAGCAACTTTAAGACCAACCAAGTTTTATTATTTATATGCACACTTCTTCAGAAGCCAGGTATTCTTCAGGTATCTGAAGAAGTGTGCTTGCACACGAAAGCTTATACCTTGAATAAAACTTTGTTGGTCTTAAAGATGCCACTAGACTCAAATAATATTTTTTAAAATATGCTAAAATACTAAGTATTTTACCTTTCTATTTACATTTATTCATTATTCAATAACTTTCTGCTTACTTGTGCTCATGTTAACTTGGGCTCTGTGTATGGTTTTATATGCATACTCGTGAAGAAGAAATTAAGAGTGTTTGGATTTTAGGCTCAGAACAAAGGTCTTCACAGAAAACAAAAGGTAAGCAAGATGACATAAGAAATCAGGAAGAATGGTTGCTGCCTATATTCCAGCAGGGGGAACTAAAGATTCACCATCTAACATTGCTATTTGGCTTACAGACCTATGTCTATTCCTATAACCCTCTGACTAATCATCAGTGCTAACACCATACAGTTAGTAGAATCTTGGATCATATGTGGTCTCAGCTGTACTATATACACTAAAGATGTTGGAAGTATACAAACACCTTTGATGCAGCTATGCTTTTGCTTGATTACCCCCTTCCTATTGGGACAGATTTCTTTAGACTTTTTTGGTACTGTCATTTGCCTTTGCCAACATTACAGTTTTTCTATTTTCTCTCTCTGTCACTCTCACTCTCAAAATATTTGTTATATTCCCCAGGAAATATTATTTTTGTATTTCACTGCTATAAGTCTGATTTCCCCCTAGCTCTCCTTAGACTTCATGTGAGACTTTTCTGGATCCCATACAAAGCAAGCAATGTGGTAGTCTCTTTTTAAAAATTTAGAAAATTAGGTAGAAATGAAGGGTATGGAGTTGTCTACAATTGCATGATTTATATTCTTCAGACACAATATTGAATAACAGAGGGGAATGAAGAGATATTATAAAGAGTGCTTTGTACATTTTATGTTTAATTCACTAATTCAGAAACTATAGTATGCATGAAGAATTGTTTGAAAAGCCTATGCTTTTCTTATGCATGTTGGTTACCTGCCAGTGTATGAGATCCAGCTTTTGGCACACCACCAGAAATGCAGTGTTTAAAGGGCAGAGTCACATGACCATTTCTGAAAAGGCTCTTCCATTGGAAGAAGGGCATCTTAAGTTGCAAGAAGATCCTTAGGCTGGAGGAAAGCTTTATACTTTACTCAGTGGAGTGGTATGATACAGGCCACTGGCTTTTCAGAAATGTGCTGAACTATCACATGGCTGCTCTGAAGACAAAGAAATCAAAGAAATAGTATAATTTTCTATAGGGCATATACATTTCAGGCCAGTTTGAGTGTATTCTATTTTGTTTGCATGCACAATAAATGCTTGGTGATAGCTGGTGGGAAGACTACAAAACACGGACTATTCTTGCTTTTGCTAGATTGGTGTCCTGTGGAATTCTACTTTGATGCATTCTGGCCAGTAGCAAACCAAAATTCCCCCCCCCCCCCCCGCCATATAAATTAGCAATACAGATGTGAAGAACACATATTTTGAGCAGAAAGTCCATATGCTCAGCTGTGCTGACATATTCATAATGCACAACCCTCATTTCAAAGCTCACTTTGAAAAGGCATCAGGCACATGAAAGGCCATGTGACTAGGCCCTTGAACAGCCACAAATGGTGCCAAAAGCTGATCCTGTGTATAACATCAAAATGTATCAGGGTTTCAGTCACACTAATTCTGGGCATACTCCCAGATAAAAGTCTAATACAGCTTTTATTTTCCAGCTCCATCATACATGGTTGAATTCAGGCAAAGACTCACAGAGACTCTGCTTTGCAGCCTGACTCCAAAGTCAGACTGGGGCTGTGTTTCACGTACACTCCCTTGAGAGTAGACTCCATAGCATTCAGTGGGGATTTTGCTAAGCATGCATACATGACATCAGGATATTTTTCTTAAATAATAACTAGGGAGAGGAGACCTCTGAGCATCTACAGCATTTAATTCCCTTGCCCCCAACTAGCTACACACACCACTCAGCAGAAATTAGGAGGAAGGGCTTCTTCCCAGGTATGGCTAAAGTCAGGTAATGCTATTTTATCCCATGATGACATGAAAGTGAAGTGGGGAGAGATTAAAACTGTGGCCTCTTTTCTAAGGGCTCCCTGTGTGGGAAATAAAGGAGATGAAGACTGAATAATTGGGGAAGAGACTTCTATGAAATCGCTCAGCGAGAAAATTACCTGCCCATTAAATGAGAAGCAGCAAGGAGCAATCATGTTAATGTCACCTATAGCCAATAGTAGTGGGGGAAAAGGGGGTTTCGGAAGAAAGGGGTGGGAGAAAAGAAACCCGGGGAGGGTGGCTGTTTCCTTCCTACCCCCATTCTGCTCCTCAGCCCTTCGTTCGTCTCCCGTTGCCGTCCTCCCTCCCACCTCTCTGCTCCAAGGGGAATGAGCGACTGGGTGTGGTGTTTTACGGTGGTTTAATCCACACCCCCACCTCTTTCCTCTCCGCCTGCAAACCGCGTCCTCCTTTCACCCCCTTCCTCGCTCTAGCGACAAACCGCCCAAGAGAGGACGAGCGCCGGGGCGAACTGCTGCAGGAGGGTGCTGCTCTCGCACACAAACGCCCCGCTGCGCTTCCAGCTTCCCGCCTCGCTCGGCTCCTTCCTCAGAAGGAGCGCTCCCCCCCACCCCCCCGTACTGTAACGCCAACGCGACCGCCTCACAGCAGCAAACAAGCACGGCGTCTGCACCCCCCCCCCCCCCCCAGGGATGCCCTGGGAATTCATTCTCCTCCTCAAGCAGTTCTTCCTTCCTCTCTAAGGGTGGGCGTCGTTTGGGTTGGTTGCTGAGGGGCGTGGGGAGAGCGGCGCTCAAAGCAACGAAAGATTTGCTGAGGCGTCCCTCTTATGGAAGTTCAGGGAAGCAACTCTGCAGCTTGAAGTGATTTGGAAGAGAGAGAAAATGAGAAGCAGAAGCCCAAACCCGTGATCTTTTCCCTTCTTCACTGCCTGTTCCTCAAAGCGCCGAGAACTTTAAAAACGGAGGAGGGGGTACTTTCTAGGAAACAAATCCGCTTTTCAAAATCTCTCTGGTCTGCTGAAGAAACCCCTTACCTTTGGATTGCAATGGAGAGTTTTAGCCACACTTGAACAGTTCCTTTACCTCCGGTGGATTGGTGGGAATTTCGGAAGCGGAGCCAGTGTGGAGTCCTCTGTGTATCTCCCCCCCCCCCCTTGTTGCTAATCTGCATGGAGCTCCAAGTGTCCCATTCAAGCCCTTTTAGCTGTTTTTGAGTCTCTCCTCACGTTCCCTTAGGTGCTAGGAAAATCTCAACTTTCGGACTTTGGGGGCTACTTTTTCTTTTTGGCCTGCCTGGCATTGGATTGCTTTTGAATATGTTAAAATGGGGCTGCTAACGCTATTCCTGCCGTTTGGATTTGTCCATTTTCAAGTTTATGGTAAGTTATAGTGTTGTATAACTGTCATTACTTGGACGGAATTTCCTTCCATTTTGACTTGGAAGGGGCTATGGAACCTTGGGTTTTATGGGCCTTAATGGGGGGGGGGCGATACGGCTGTAACAAGCTTTGTCAACTTCATGGAAAATGGAGAAACCGTTAATGACCGAAATAGTTAATGAATGGGGTGGTCAATCTAACCTGTAAAGAAAGGAGGGGAGAATCAACCGTAGCGATGAATTCCTAAAACGTACCAACAGATGTCGATTGCTACTGTTTTTTGCTCCATGCTGAACTTTTTAGATAGAAAATCGACTGATTAAATTGGGGCAGTTGCTCTTTTCATTCAAGTGAATTTGCCACGATGAGTTTCCAAATGCTCCATTTGTAACGCGGTGAATAGAATGCTCTAAATAGTGTGAACTAAATGTACGCCTGCGAGATGTGTTGTGGGGGAAGCTGTAGGGAGTGTGAAAATGGGTCGTGTCTATATGGAAGCTTTCCAGTACAGCAGAATCTCAGCTTCCACCGTTAAAAGGCAATAGGGATTTTGAACAGGTGCTGTAGGTGTCTCTCCTTCTTTGCAGTATTGTAAAGGCAATAGCCTTGTATTTCGGTTGTCTTTTGTTCAGCGTGCATAGCTTGCGTAAAGTAAACTCAGGATCTTATAGTTACTAAATCTAGAAGCATTTTTCAGAGAACGTCATAAGATAATTTGAACAATGCTAACAACAGCACAGTGCTTGTTTTACAATGAATGATATGGAGAGATCAGATTAAATCAACAGTGTATGGCAAGCAGAGCGTAATTTAACAGACACCCCGATGAAAGGATAGACTAAAGTACTTAAAGAAAACAGAATGTGATGTCTGTGCACGCGCGCCTGCATGCCTTAGCCCAGAATCTGTAACATATATAATAGTATTTTTGTTCACAAGTCGGGTATCTGATGCACACACATATTAAATCATCATATGGTCAGGGGAGGCATGAAACAGTAGAGAGTACCAGCTCTTTGGCTATCATCCTAATTTGGAATTTTAGCATACAGGTTTATGTACTGCAGTTAATTCACAAGTCTGGGTTGCTGTCTGTTGTGGCTAGTCTGTGGGATAAAACTTGGTTCCAGCAGGAAGCTGGTGCTTGAAAGCGTTTAACATATCCATATCAAAGAGAGCCCTCTCTTGTAAACACAGAGAGATATTGTATTACCTACAATTACTGCATGCAGTTATGGGCTGCATAAGTACAAATGCTTCCCTCCCCGCCACACCCCCAGCAACACAGGAGGCACTTGAGTACCCCACTGAAAGCTGGGAATATATAATAGTTATTTCATGTGTTGTATGATGCCTCACACGCAGCATTGTGATTCATGTAAAGCACACTGGCAATGTACATAAAACCTGAAAGTACAGGCTACAGATTTGTAGTTATTTGCTGGTTTTTGAAAATTATAGGTAGCTAGAAGGAATACAATTAGAGTACTCAGTGGAAGTGACAGAGTGAATCACAGGAGCCTGGTGTTACAGAATGTAATTAATATACCAGGCTGTTTTGAGATATAAGAAACAAATGCAATTAACCAGCTTGCTGGAAGGACAGGAGCAAGGCATGATTTATTCAGGTTTTCTCCCATGGAGAGAACTTTTTCGCAGTATTTAGCATTCTGATACAAGGTAAAACTGTGAGAACTCATTGGTCTATCCTTGAGAAACATGTTATGGATTTTACAGAAATGTTTCATGAGAAGATATTGGAATGCTATGTTACTATCAGTGGCTGCAGTCCTGCAGGACTGACTATGTCCAGGATTGCAGTATTATCTCCTGTTGTTTTGAAACATGTTCACTAAGACAAAAATACTGATAACTCTCTTTTATTCAGGATTAATGTAAGGATGCATATTATACTCTATTTATACACACCCCTCCCATGAAGAAAGTTGTGCCATAGAATAATGGGATGTCATTAAGGGTAGCTAGAGACATTCTATTTTAGCATTACAGGTCAGGTGGTTTAGATGTACACTTCAAAATGTAAAGTGTTAGCTTTACAAACACATATGAGCTTTACGAACACTATAAGGTGGATGCACTCAGCTTTCCCATTAATATGTAAAATAGTCTTAAATTGCTTTAAATGTTTCTTTATTGTATGTTATGAATAAATATACACTGTATATATCTAAGCAAATTCATTCTTGGATAACCAAAACCGTCAGTTCCCCTCCCCCAAATAAAAATGGGTCGTACCTTTCTCAAAAGCTACAGCTCTGGGCTATCCCCTACCTCACTGGTGGTAATGGAAAGTTCCATCAAGTCGCAGCCAACTCATGGTGCCCCTGTAGGATTTTCAAGGGAAGAGACATTCAGATGTGGTTTTCCATTGTCTGCCTCTGCGTTGCGACCTTGGACTTCCTTGATGATCTCCCATCCAAATACTAACCAGGGTCAACCCTGCTTAAGCTTCTTAGTTCTCATGAGAGCAATGCCTACCTCAGTAGCTCTTCATTTTCAAAATTCTGATTTTTTAAATTTCTGGGCATGGATTTTAGTTGGAGAGAGATAATTAAGATTTTCTGAGATGTAATATCTGTAGTTTCTGTACGTTGTGCTGTTAGTTTTGTTTCAGGGCCTACAGGTAGCATTACTCAATGCTACACTCGGTTGGTTATTTTCCTCAACAAGTTATTTTTTGGTCTATCTTTGCTTTCATAGCACCTCAAAATTACATACTCTATGAAAATCGGATACACTGTGAAGTCTGTGTTCATGTGTGTCTGTATGCATCTATGACAGCTCTGCTTATATCCTCTGCATAGAACTTCGGTACAAATCCTGCTATCATTGTTGGATCCTGTTTGGGAAGTTACAAAAAGCTCCATCTTTTCTTTATGCACTGCTTTATTTGTTAACTTATTCTCTAACTTAAATTTAGATTACTTCTTAGTTTATTTTGTTTAGTTAGCACAATTCAGTGAATTCTGAGGATGCAAAATGGGATGAACAAGCCATGATGATCCTGTGCTGTCTTTCTACCATATATTTGATGAAGCCTTATATACTTTGTAGGGAAGCACAGTAATGTGGGTGTGGTGGTAGAGGATTAAGCAAAGTTTACTCTGTGGAAAAAGGTCTCAGTACTGGAACTCTTACTTTTTGGGCCTAGTTCTCTAACACCTTTGTGAAGAAGATGGAAAATACTTACTTGAGCAAGTCCTCTCAGAACAAGGACTCTTGTGCTGCAAGAATGTACTGACTATACCTAAAGTTGAACACAGAACATAACAAAAATTTTGGCCTCCAAACTTTCCTCTGTGAAGTCTGAATTACTCTAAATAATAAAATGTTTTAAACTGTTTTAACATGCACTTGTTTGGCCTGAAATAGGTTGTGATCTCCAGATGACAGAAATCAGTTCCCCTAGAGACATTGGCTGCTTTGGAACATAGACTTTACGGCATTATACCTTGCTGAACTCCATCCTCAAATCTCCAGGAGTTTCCCAACCTGGAGCTGGCAACCTTAGGAGCCCACAGAGCATTTCTACATGTGAGCAGAAATGCTAAAAATAAACTTTGCAGGCTGTTTGCTAAAAGTTAAAACTATTGGATCCCAGCCTTGGTTATTGCAAACCCCAAAACAGAGTGTAAGACATTTTTTTGATTGGATCAGTAATGCAATTAAGTACTACAGGTTGCTCTAGGCCTTGTTCTGTTGCTTGCACTAGCAAAACAGTACTAAGTATGTTTTCCTTTTTACTCATGCTTCACTGGAGCCAACCTAGTATGAGATGACGACAAGTCACTGTGAGCAGCTTTCTCCTATTTTCAAACTACTAAGGGTACATTGATGAACAATTTTGTTTCCTGGGATGGGGTCCTGCCTAGGTGAGGTGGTGACCAGGGGTGAATCCTATTATGATACTTGAATTTGGGAAGATATACCTATCTTGAAATAGGGAAGCTCTTTGAATTGAAGGACCTTGTATTCCAACTTCCCCCGATTCCAAGTTCAGTAGTTGTGACAGATACCAAATTTAAGGAAGCAGCATTTTAGGTAGCACCACCAGGGATGGTACCAGGTGGATCATTGTGCTGCACTCATTGCATAAATATTACAAAATATGGTGGCTACAGAGAATTTTTACAGCCCAATTTTACTATTGCTTTCAGTTGGGGGTGAGGAAGCTTTTTCATACAGATGCATTCATGAAGCTCAGTCAGGTTTCTTTGGAAATAGTCCACAGTAAGTGTGTGTACAATTGCAATCATAGAAATATCATTCAATCATGACAACGATATATATGCATTCATTTACTCTGAGAGCACAAAACTCTGATACTTTAGGGCAACACTGCTACTTGGAAGTAAGTCTCATTGAACTTAATGCAATTCACTTTTGAGTAGGCATGGCTGGGATTGGAGTGTAAATGTGAAAGATCGATAGTGTGGAAAGTGAGATTCCACAGAAAGAAAGCTACTACTTTTTAATGAGGTGTTTAAAATAGAGCAGTCAGCTGCCTTTTTAAGAATTAGTATTTTGGTTGTCAAAGGACATACCTGTTAAGATTCAGTTCTGCCTTCAAGTGAGCTGTGTAGCTTAAATAGCACAAGAAAATGAAATTTAAAGACCACAGTATAATGTATTTTATCTCTTTACTGTATAATCAGTTGGTATACAAATATTGACTAGAGAAAAAGAAGAATAGATTCACCATGCTCTGCCCTCTTGGTCTGAAACATGGCCCGTCTATGATAACTTTTTAAAAAGGCTGCTTTCTCTTTGGTTACCACCTGGGTTAACCCAATGTTCCCTCTAGGATGTGGAGTCTTGTGAGCAAAAATTCTGCTTTGTGAGCTACTGGCGTTAAAGTTGTGAGTGAGCGATTTGGCTACTGCATAAATTAGTTTGCTCTGGAGCCATCCTTCCTGAGCGAAGACAAAAATGTGTGAGCCGGAGGCTAAAAAACTGTGAGCTAGCTCACACTAACTCAG